AGGAATGCAGCCTGTCATCAGAGGGCAGTGTTTCTAATGCATTTGAGGTGTTAACACGCATCTTTCCTGCATCAGGAGTCCTGCGGCCTGGAGAACAGGTGTGCTCCAGAGCCAGTGCAGCCAGCAAAGCTTTTGTCCTAGACTCCAGTGGGCACTAATGCTCTTGTGCCCAGCAGCGTGAGAGGAAAGAAGTCTCAAAGTAAGTCTAAGTGAATTTACTCCTGCTCTAAGGCCCCTATACACTCCTAACACAGATCAAAAGGTGATCAGGATCCTTTGTTCCTTGGCCTCCTTCAGTTGTTAACAGACCCATTACGTTTACGAAGTTCAGTTACACAGAAAGGTTATGGGCCAGATTGTGGTCCTGGTTTTGCTGGTGTCATTTGGTAGTCAATGAGTTCACTCTGGATTTACACCAGAGCAAAGGAGAGTGGCAGCTGATACAAAAGATCAGATTCTGTTCCCATTCACACCAGTACAAAGCCACTGGTATCAGTGGAATTGATGCTTTTGGTACTGGTGCCAAAGAGAAGAGAAACATGCCGTTTGTGTCCAAAACAGCATCTATAGGAAAAAGCAGGGATCTTGAGTGGCCGTAAAGGAAGGTAGCTTGACTATCTTAAATGGAACGATGTTAATTTATACCTGCAGAACGTCTGGCGCGCTCCGTTTTTAACGGCAGAATTTTTCATAATGGGTCGCCGAGTAGAAATATTCAGCAATGAAAATGGTACCAGATAAAAATAAATAAGCCCACCTCTGATTTGAAGCCAGCTCTAACAGAGGGCAAGCCACATCCTTGCTCCTACATATACACACATGGTTTATTTGGTCTTAAATAGTACTTACAAATGCAAGCTTTCACTCGAGTTCCCTGGGCCAGAGAATCTCAGCTAAGGCCAGGGTCTCTGTCAGCCATCAAAGGCTTGTGTGCCCCTGGCATGTGGTGTCACTGGTTTGACAGCACAGCAGGTAAGGAGGTTTGGCAGAAGCCAGACACTGAAGCAGGTATCTCCTGTGAGTCAGGAATGGGCTCAGCCACCATCAAATGACTTTAAGTTTCATGAAATAGTTTTTCTTCGAATTCTGTAGGCTGCAGTTTTTGTGCCGGAGCTAGAGCCAAGGGAGAATCCTCCCAGATTCCCAGAATTGGCTCTTTTCTGTACAAGCAGGGGGACAGCTGCTGAGCCAAGCACAGACCTGGCCCTTCTAAACCTGACTTTCACATTTCCCGTATCTCTAATGCAGGGGTACGATTGGCAGAGCCTGCGGTTCCCAGCACGTGATGGTACACCATAGCTGCTGGGATCAGGCTGCAGCTCCCACAGCATGCTGGGAGCTATGGTCTTAGTGTAGAATTTCCTTCCTTGGAGAAGTTCAGTCCCTAAACAGCACTCGATTTGAGACTGTTCTCATGCAGCCCTAGGGTCAGTGGTCAGCGTAGGCAGCTTTGCCTGAGAAGGTAAAGAGGGGGTGAAGGGAGAGGGTCACGTCAAGGGGCTTCAGGCTTGCTTATGGGAAACAATACATTGGAGAGGGGGCATATGGGGAATTCAAACCAAACACCAAGGGCATCCTATTGGGTAAGATATATGGCCTCTGCCCAGTTGCACTGCAGCTACCTATCCCTGGCGAATGGTGCTGAGGGCTCAGCTTCCTCTAGCTCAGCATCTTGTGCCGGTCGAAAACTGTCTTCCGTTGCTCCTGCACCTGCCGCTTCCACCGCTGCTGGGCTCCTTCCACCCTCTCCAGCACCGTGTTGGCTCTGGCACCAGAAGGAGTAGGTACCGCTGCCAGTGAGCGTGCATCCTGCAATGCAAAGAGAGGAGAGTGTTTATAGGGGGAAATCTCTCTAGTGCCAAAGGAAGCGGGTTCTCAGTTTGGAGAGAAATATTCACATGCAGAGCAATTTGGGGAGTTAATTTTCCCTGATATCCACAGGACTAGATTTTCAAAGATTTCCAGCATCAACTGCAGGTCTTCATGGTACCAAACCTCTACGGGGCTTGAACCTGGGACCATCAGTGTGCAGGCCCCCAGCACTTGAGTTAAAAGAAGAACTATCAGGAGGTAGCTGTGTTAGGGTCTACTCTTCTTCTACAGACCAGCCAGTAAAAAAAGAAACTTTAGCAGCATCTACCCTGCTAAACTGAGCTGCATCAGCCCCTCTGGACATTCAGCCTATGCTTAATAAGTGGCCTGTTTCCCCCGAATTTCAGACCTGCTCATATGTTTGGTGGTGAATTTCTGGACCAAAGGAAACTGCAACTCTGTCCCACTGAGGGGGAGAGAGAAAGGGCTGTAGAGGTGGAGAGAGAGAGAAACCTAATAGAAAAGACGGAGGCTATATTCTCAGCACACATACATTTTATGCAGTTTTGCTAGCTATGCCAAGTCATACCAGGTGAGGACCTGGCTCACAGACTTTAAGCTGTAGCAACCCATGTCAGCTGATTTATCAGGGCAGTTCTAAGCATAAACTGTTGCTATTTAATGTGCCCATTCATAGCAGAAGTTTTTGTAATGTAGTGCTTATAGTGTTTGCTTAACATGTGAAAGACTCCTGCTTCTGAACCATCCAGAAACACTGGAATTTCAAGCGACGGTGGCCCCCCCGGGCTCTGGCAGACCTTTGAATGCCCAAAGGCCCCAAAGAGAAACGGGGCTCCACTGTGCTAGGTGCTGTACAAAAGGGGTAATAGAGCTTGTCTGAAGGAGCTCACAGTTCACTCCTTTTGAAAGAAGAAGTCAAAGACCTTCTTGAAGCTATAGATGGCCCAATGGGCTACTGTCTGCCAATTTCTATAGCCCAACCCACACATGAAAGCAGTGTGGATGTACAGCAGCATGTTCAGCCACCTCTGAATCCTCATGCTAAAATCAGACAGGAGCTGCCTGACCTTCCCCTCATTCATGCTGGGTTGATCATACTGGGCCTGATATCTCCTTTTCTGACCCTGGGAAGTAACCTCATTATGGTCAATGGAACTCATTAAGTAGCTTTTGCAAAACCCAAAGCAAAAGGGCTCCCTTAGCCTAGTGCATTTCCAATAATGAATTGGACCAAAAATGGCTAACTGAGACAAGAAAATGAAGAAAATATTTTCCCAACGTCCTGGAGATCCCTTCTGCCTGCGCCCCTTGCTACTCTATTGCTGGGGTTCTTGATGCTGGATGTGGCTGAGACAAAAATAACTGGGATAATAGCACTTGCTCATAGAGGAGACCAAGAAAATAGCCTTGGATCAGCTGGGAGGGCTCCTGGGAGTAGAGGTAGGGGGCTGAGTCCTATCCATTCCACCTACCCAGCTTGCTTTTTCCTCCCACAAAAATCCCCTCCCCCCGTGCTGTGTTTCAGCTCCTCCCAGCCATGGGGAATTGTACAACTCTCTCCATCAAAAGGGAGCGTTCCTGCTGTAATTGCAGCATGCGGCGCTCTCTTGCATCCGGAAAGGCTAATTCTGGGTCTTTGTCAGGATTACAGCTCTGTGCAGCTCCCCAGCTCCTGTGGGGATTTCCTGAAGGGCTCCATGCCCCTCTCATCTCTTGCCACGTGGTTCTTAAAGGATTAATGCACCTTGCTTTCTTTGCACTCAGATCTGAGCGCCATCCAGTAAATGCACCTTCCTGTACAGTGCCCTGGGCTGGCACAGCATCTAAGGCCTCATGACTGTTGAGTTTGGCAGGGAACAAAACAGCAGCATGGAAAAAAGGCAGTGGGCTGGGGAGACCAGTCGCTGGTTAATTGCTTGGCTACAAACAGGTGCCGGGTACATCCTGAGGGCCTGTTGATATCAACAGAAGAACAAGGAGCTACAGAGCCATCAAGGAAGGAGTTAAAGGTGCATGGCTCCTCATCCTAACCTTGGTCCCAAGGAAGCCAGGAGTCCAATTCCCACTTACTTTTAATGGGACCAGGCACAAATCCAGGATCACCACTCTGAGACCAAGGTGTGCAGTGGGTATTATGTCAGTAAGGAGGAAGACTTCATGTCTGGGGCACTCTTCTGCTTGGTAGCTGTGGCAATAAGCTGCTTCCTTTCCCAGCTAGCAGGAGCTGGGTTTGGCTCTGCTTGAGAGGAAGCCAAACTGTATATTCCTCAGATGTGCAGATGACAGATTCTCTGACCATAAACTCCCTGACTGGCAGCACAGGGATGCCGGCTGCTCAGTACAAGGGCAGTGTGTTGGGGAGCAGGTGCGTGCTTTGCACTCCCCCTCTGATAGGCTTTCTTCTTGTTTGGTAGCTTCTTGGTTTGAGTGAAGCACATGGCTGGTTTTTGTGTGCGAAGGGCAGAATTGGTCTCTGAGCCCAGTGAGCATGCTGCTGGGTGACTGCAGGGGCCAGTCTAAACAATTTTGTAGGGCTTCCTTGTCTGAGACCAGCCAACGTCTTCCTCCCATAGATCACTCCTCACAGCCACCTAAAAAACCTGCCTGTAGCTTCTTGAGTCTTCAGTCCTATCCTGGCCCAGAGCCTAGGCCAGGATGTAGAGAGGCCCTATGTGCTGATGCTGGGCAGTACAAACCTGAGAGCTAATAACTCCAAAGGAACCACACAGTCTTCCTGTGACTTGCAGCCTTGAGAGAGATTTCCCCTTCTCCTTTCTTTACTATGGCAAGCAAACAGGAGGGAAAGCCAAGCTTGACAGGGCAGGTATCCAGTGCTAACAAAACAATTATCTTCCATTGGAGATGCTGCACCTGCTTCAAAGACCCACTGAAGAGCACATGATCAAGACTCTGCTAGCTAGGAGAAGATACTGGAGGCATTTTCCCATTGAATGTCCTTCAGATGTCTCAGGGAGCGGTGCGTTTCCCAGCTGGGGCTGTCCTCTTTCCAGCCAGGATCCACAAGGACTCTGGACAGCAAGTGCAACATTTCTGGCTGCCCAGAGAGCTCGCTGCCCTCACAGCAATAAGGCTGCATCAGCAATACACTACAGTGGGTTGGCTGGAGAGAGCCAGGGAAGAGGTTGCAGCCTGAAGCTATCTCTGAAGTTGTCAGAGCTAGAAACTTAGATCCAAATTCTAGTTCACTAAGGCAGACTGCAGTTCTCTAGACCAGTGGCTTTTAACCTGTGGTAGGTGTTGCTCTATGTTGAAGGGGTCCACAAAAGATGACTATGATCAATCAGAAGTATGTGGATATTCATGCTTACAGTTCAAAGGGGTCTGCACTTCCATGTGAAATATTTTTTAGGGGTTTGCAAATGAAAAAAGGTTGAAAACAACTGCTCTAGACAGTATCCATTGTGGAATATCCAAAAGACAACACAGTGGAACAGACTGTACTTTGGTACCAAGCCTATGTAGCCACCTTAGAAATGAAATAGGATTTGAGCTTTTTTTAAAGTGAGAGAACCTGAAAAATCGGAGTACGCCGTGCAGGCCACCCCATGTTATCAGAAAGGAAAGGTGTTAGTTCATTTCTATAGAGATGAATATCCCCTACTTGCTCCCAACCTGATGTTTTTTTAGGTGGGGATCTGACTAATCAATTTTCTACAGTGAAATCAATGTGGTTCTCCTCTTACTTACATTAGTATCACACCTGTCAAACTATACTGATTTCAAAGAAATTACTCTTGACTTTATACCACTTTGTATAAGGGTTTTGGGCCCAATGGTTGTCAAAGCCGGTGGGGTAGAATGGGTTTCTGCGTTCTGCATGATTTTGTTGCGTAGAACAAATCTTCCACAGTGAAACTGCTCTCAGGCGACTCTAACAAACTATCCCCATGGGGAGCAGGCACTTCTTTGAGGCAGGATGGGATGGATTGAATAGGATACTCCAGGCAAGTACATGTGTCACAAAAGGCTTTGCTAGTTACAGCCCCTCAAGCACATGCACTAGCTTCCTCTGTTCAAAGCATGTCTGAGCACCTGGATTACAGCTAATCAGGAGGGAGGCAGTACGTGCTGCAACCCAGGGCTTCCATAGCCTTTAGGGGTTGGAGAGAGAGGCAGATTTCTCACCTTACTCCTCAGCACACAACTAGGATCCTAATGCTCCTGAAAGGTGCTGTTTTATCTCAGAAGTGTGTCAAGGAAGATACCTCATCCCACAGGCACTTATAGTGGCAACTACTGTGGCGGCATGTAAACCACAATGTCCCGGGGGAACAGACAAGCCCCTTAAACTATTCCCTGGCCCACTGATTTACCTTAGAGCTGAGTCTTTCACCAAGGGTTTGTGCTGCTCCCAGTATGCATGTCAGTGGTATTCAGTCCCACTCTGCTTGCTGGAGGGGCCAGGCACACGTCAGGGTGATTTCCCCTCTTGCCTCCACCCTCTCCCATCTCCTGCTGTCATGCATCCCCATGTGGGCCTGACGTGAGGGCAAACTGCCAAGTGGAGCTAGCTAGTCAGACGCTTCAGAGCCATGCAGTGACAGAACTCAGAACCAGAGCAGAATGTGCTTCCAAGACAACCCCATAGGCAGGGAAGCATGCTCTCTTGGGGCTAAGACTGGTGAGGCCACTTTGGGAGTGCTGTGTCCAGTTTTGAGTTTTCTGTGTCCCCTACTACAGAAAGGATGTGGACAAATCGGAAGGAGTCTAGCGGAGGACAATGAAAATGGTTAAGGGCTAGGGCACAAGACTTGAGAAGAGGCCAAGGGAACTGGGCTTATTTAGTCTACAGAAGAGAAGACTGAGAGGGGATATGATAGCAGCCTTCAACTACCTGAAGACGGGTTGCAAAGAGGATGGAGCTGGCCTGTTCTCAGTGGTGGCAGATGACAGAACAAGGAGCAGTGGTCTCAAGTTGCAGCGAGGGAAGTTTAGGTTAGATAATAGGAAAAACTCTCACTAGGAGGGTAGTAAAACACAGGAACGGGTTACCTAGAGAACTTATGGAATCTCCATCTTTGGAGGTTTTTAAGACTTGACTAGACAAAGCCTTGGCTGGGATGATCTAGTTGGGGCTGGTCCTGCATTGAGTAGAGGGTTGGACTAGATGTGACCTCCTGAGGTCCCTTCCAACCCGCATTTTCTATGATTGTAAGACTGGACACTGAACTTGCACCTTCCCCAAGCTAAGCACCCAGCAACTAGACTGAGCCAAATCCTTCTCAATAGTTTACACAGGATCTGCTCATGACCAAGTCAACATAGGGACTTGAGTTGGGATACCTCCATGGGCTCCAGCTGGTCTCAGTTAAAAAACTGTGGGTGTGAAGGCCAGCTAAAGAGAAACACAGCTCCATCTTGCCCAGTGCTATGGACCTTAATGACAGACCAGCCACAAACAACAGAGACACCTGAATGAAAAAGTGTCCTTGAGACATGCATTCCAAGGAAACGGCAGCATCAGGCCCTGTAATCAGCCTTCTGTATCTCTCAATTACAGCGTGAAGCAGGGCTACAATTAGCACATTATAGCTAATCACTACATGTGCAGCCATTCCACTCCTTTGCTATCAAGGCTGCCATTACTGCACAATAATAACCAGTTTTGCTTCTGACATTTCCTCTCCCAGAGGCCACCCACATTCCCGCTCCCCCTACCCACCCCCCACTTTCCACAGCACCCTGCTCACGGATGGGAGCCATCACGGAAGGAAGAGGCAGGATACACAAAGCTAAATCCTAGTGCCTTTGCTCTGAAAATCTTCAAAGTCAGTGGGCACTTTGCTTCTGTCTGGGTCTGGGCCTCTGACCCACAAAAAAAAAAATCAGTGGTATTTGCAGGCCACTTGGGCAGTAACTTCACTGTGGTAAATAGCTGTGAGACAAACCTCACATGAGCAGGGTAGCCTGGACCAGCTCTTTGTCCTCCAAAATGCACGTGAGCTAAATAAGAGATCTCCCTATGCTGGTAGCATGTATTTTTCCTCTTTATGCACGCCATATCAGATCCTCCCCCAGAGGAGGACACGCCAGCACAATATAATGTGAAATACCCAAAGCTGAGTTGAAAACAAAGCAGGCAAGTACAACTGGGGCCAGTCATCAGATCATCCTGTGTTAGAAAACTACCCCAAAACGGAACAACAATTGCCATGATGGGGCAGGCTCTTCACCTCCTCACGGTGCTTTCTGTGTGCGTGTGGGGTGTAATCTAGCAGGGCAAAGGTAACAAACATGGGGTAGGGCAGAGTCAGAGATCAAAACTCCCTTGAAATGTAGCATTTTGGGCCCAGAAACCTGCCTAACTTCTCTCCCAACTATACAGTTGGTCCAATAAAAGATATCATCTTGCTTTTTGTGAAGCAGTGATGGGTAGGCCAAGTGGTTTATGGCACATGCTAAGAGTAAGCCCAGCTGAAGACAATCACAGCAGGGGCTCCACCCCTGCTGACCTTGGGATGCAGTGAGAATACCTGAGGGGGGGTAGGAAGTGAGTGCAGAACATGCTCAAGGGGATGCACAAAGAATAGGGAGGTGCAGGGTCAAACATCAATAGCATCTGTTGTTTTGTCACTGCCCTCATTGTCCTGCTCTTCCTTTCCATTACCCTCACATCTCCCTTCTAATTTTCCCTCCTGTGGCCCCATCCTCCAAGTCACCCCACATACTCTAGAAAGATGCCATCACCTCATTCTCCTCCTCGTTGTGCAGGGGCTGGGTATAGGCATCTGGCTTCCGGATCAGCGGGTCGACCAGCATGAGGAAGGCCATGTAGAGCAGCAGTGCCCCGACCACTGACAAGTAGATGATGATGATAACCTGTGGGGGTGGTAGCAAAAGATCATCAGTAAGAGCTCTTATAATCTCCAGGCCTCAAGGTGTCTTCACAAGCCAGTCCCTGGCTGATGAGGCTAGGAGGAAACAATCCCTACAGTCCAAATTATTATATTGTTGCTCACTAGGAGGTTTCTGGAACTTCCTTTTGAAGCAGCTGGGGACTCTTGGAGCCAGAATAAGAGCCTAGATGGGCCCATGGCTTGATCCAATCTGCAAATCCTTAAACAACCTCAGCAAGGTGACTGGTGCTTCCACACAGTCTGCTTCCCCACTGCCATCAGCCTTCCCTGCTTCCCAGAAATGGTGTGGGGTGAGCCACCTCCTGCTCTGGGCCAGGTGGTGGTGGGGAGGAAGCTGGAGTAGGAGTGGAGGTAGGTGGGACAGGATCTCAAAAAGCCCACAGATGATGAGCAGGGCTGAAAACAAGGGCAGGCAGCAGTGAAAATGGAGCTGAGTGGTGATGGGCTTACTTCTCAGAGAACGTTATAGATGGACCTTGTAAAAGAATGAGGTGGGGGGGATCATCAAGGAGAAAGGCAGGGCCTTTTTCATGGAAGGATGAGCGGGGAGTTGTTCCTCCTGGCTGCCCCACAGCCAGCAGCATTGACACCACTTTCTTCTCAGCCAGTGTCTCCCATCTTGGCCTCAAACACCTTCACTCCCCTTCCCCATCTCACAGATGGGAGACTGAGATATGGGGAAGGGAATACCTTGACCAAGGTCATACTAGGAGACAGTAGGAGGGTCTCAGCACCTCCAAAGTGCTTTGCAGGAGGAAGCCCTGTTTAATTCCTAACATACCCTGTTCAGGTCATCCCTCAGCTGGGAGAACCATAAAGGAAGGGGCATGAAAAGGCCTTGCTCCCCCGTCCCTGAAGACAACACATCATCTTCATCTTCCCCATTATAATCATTAAGGTCCCAATCCAAGTCCTTTGTCTTATCCCATATCCTCCATAGTGGTCTTCCCTGCATAACTCTGCCTGTGAGGTGCACAGCATGGGGATAGTGAAAGCTGTGGGGCTGGGTCCATTGCTACCTTGATGGTGGTGGTGCTGCGCTCCTCATACTTGCACTCACACAGCAGGCAGTAGGCTTCAACATCACGGCCTGGCACTGGCATTGGCTCCACCACATGCAGGCAGTTGCTGCAACACAAATATGCCAGGGTAAGCAGTAGGACAAGGGGAAGGCTGTGCTGGGTGGGGTGAGGGGCACTGGAGTTCTGGTGTCTGCAGTATTGTCATTGCTGTCACTGCTAGCCAGGACCATTACATAGGGTGACCATATGTCCTGGTTTGGCTGGGACAATCCTGGATTACAGAGGCTGCTGAAAATTAAAATGAGTGCCCTGGGTGCAGGGCAGGGAGGCAGAGCATCATGAGCTGTGAAATAGGAAGCCTTGGTAGATGGCAAATTAAATTGCCCTAAAATAAGTTAGCTTGGTTAGTGGAATGAGCATTTAAAAGGGGAGACGATTTTTAATGCCTGTGAAGTAGAGAACAGTGGGTCATTAATGGACCACTGACTCCCTTAATTGCCTGAATACCAGAGCTGAATCACATGGGCCCCATCCCCGCCCCCTCCTCTGCCTGCAGCAGCATGGTTGACTTGAGGGATAGGGTGGGGAGGGGCATGAATGCTGTGTGCCCCCGGAGGCTGATGGGGCATGGCGACCACGCGCAGGTGGTGGCAGCAGCAGGGCATAGTGGTGGTGAGCGGGGAGCTCCCACAGGCAGCTGCACTGGTGTTGGTGGTGGGGGCGGGTCGTGGGGGGAGCTCCTGCAGTCGGCTGCAGCAGTGCTGGTGGTGGAGAGGGGGTGGGAGGCGAGTGTCAAGTGGCGGTTGGCAACCACCCGCAGATGCCACTGGTAGTGTCAGCAGCAATCGGGGACCATGCGCAGATGCTGCCAAGGAGGGGTGGTGGTGAGTGGTGACCACCCACAGGTGCTGCCGGCAGTGTTGGCAGTGCTTTTTGCAGGGAGAGCATTGACAAGCTCAGGATGTGCGCGTGCACCTGCGTGCACCCCCTACACAGTGCCAATGGGGAGGGGGGAATGTCCTAGTTTTCACATTGCCCCTTTTGGTCACCCTACCATTACATTGCTGAAGAGCCAGAGAGAAACACTGGCCCTGCCTACTTCCAGCACCCTCTACAGGGAACCCTCTTGGTGTTCCTTATAGCTGAAAGAGACAATGAAAGAGAGAATGATGGCTCAGCCATCACTCTGATCTGCTAGTATAGGAAATGGGCATTGGGAAGGGGCAGGAAGAGGGTAGCCTCCAGCCAGCATCCAGGAGACAGGTACCAACCTTCACAAAGCTGCCCCTCGCTAAGGGATCCCTTTCCAAAGGCAATGAATGGGGGCTGTGAGCTGGACTTGATGACCTTAATTTGATTTAATCCCTTCAACAGAAAACCATCTAGTAGAAACATATCAAAACAAGGCAGTGAAAAAGAGAAACTTAACAGGGAAAGCCTGTATATAGATAAAAGATAATGCTTAGGAGAGTGCCTGAAGTAGCACTCCATAGAGTGGGGCAGATCCTGCTAATCTCTATCTACTCCACAGGTATTAAGGACCCTCTGTCTTTTAAGGGTCTTGATGTTCCACTATTCAAACTAGCCTTTCCTCTACAAAGTTGCTGTCTGTTAGCCAGTCCTGGTGATGTCTCTCTTCTGTTTCACAGCTCTGCAGATTATTTTTAGCTTTAGCGAAAAACCTTCTCTCAGATGTGGTAATATCTAACTCAGATGTAGAAATACTGACAATTGGAGGCTGTGTCAAGACACAAGAAGGCTAGATTTTATGAATCTAAATAAGATGTTCATTTAAGTATATTCTTTTTGACCATCTTGACTATTTTATGCCTAGTTTGTTGTGTTTTTCTTTCTAAACAATATATAATCTAACAAGATAGAGTACATTTCAATAGTTATATTTGTCTCTGCTTTCACCGTAAACCGAATAATATAGTGCTAGCCTCCTGGCATGTTGACAAAGCTTCTCATTTCACTTTGACTGGCAAAAAATGTGTGTTGTATTATATGCAATGATGTGCTACACCATCTGCCCCCTGCCCCCTTTTCAAAATCCTAGATCCACTCATCCTGTTTAGTTCCCAGTTCTGCCCTTGGCTTTGTGGATGACCTTGAGCAAATCCCTTCCTCTAACTTAGGTTTCCTTGCCCTGAGCATGGAGATAATGTGGCTGATCTCCTTTGTGAAGTGTATTGAACTGTACTGATGAGAGAGAGTAAATGAGAGCCAGGAAATATTGTTAGATGGATTCTACTGTCTAAGAAACAGACTTGACTGATATTATGAGTAGAAACTGTGGGGCTACAAATCACCAAGCTACAGTCTTTTTAACCCTCAGCCATTCAGTCCTGCCTATTCCCTGGTGTAAAGAAACGTGTATGTGGGACCCCTCGTCTTAAACCCGCAGCTGAGAAGTGTTGCATTTCCCATCCCCGCACGACAGGGAACACTGTCTTTCAGTAACTATCTTGCCATCTCCTGGAACAGCTCAGAAGGATGTTGAATGATGGGGTCTTGGGGGAATTTGAAAAAAGTACATTAAGTCCCCAGGTCTTAACAAACATGGATACCAGTCTGTCCTAGAGGCTGTGGCGGTGCCTCCTTGCCTATATTAGCCTGAATGGAGGCATAGGCTGGAAAAATTAAAGCTATTAAAGAAGCCTGGAAGAAGAACAGGCTGTATAGGGCAGGAGTCAGGCCTCCTTGCTCAGTCTACTGTGTAGCTTTAAAGCCCTGCAGACAGCAAGCAGCAACACCTCAGTGGCAGGATGATTTAGCAGGCAGTACTAGTCCTTAGGACCCAGGGAGCTACAGTGCTAACTTCAGTGTAGGCATAGGACAGGCAGGTGCGGAGGGCTTAGGTTTCCTCCTCCTATTCAGCTCGGTCAATCCCCTGAATATCAACAAGTCCCTCTTCAGTTACAGATGTGGAAGTCCCCAGCACCCAGCTCTGCTGTTGCCCTTCAGTCCTGACCCACAGCCCCTCCTATCCCAGCCCTGGACTCCTCACATGCACAGCTCTGCCCATGTGGCTCAATCCCGACCTGTGATTCCTGTTACTCCAGTCATGGGCTGTGCCCAAAGAGAAACTGCAGACTGCACAGTTGTGTGCAATACAACTGGACCGTAGGGGAGAAAGAAATAAGAACGTATAAGGAGCAGTAGCTCCATTTGTGTACTCTGGGTAAGTGAAGTCAACAGCCTTGCACCTGTGCTAATACAGCAGATAACTGGGCATCAGCCCAACTGTAAATGACACTTCAATAGATGATTTTCTATGTGGTTGGGCCTCCTCCCTGTTACAGGGAGGGGTTTTGTACATTGGGGATTTAGTCTCATTATGTCTGGTGAGATAGGGAAAATTATGATCCATTTTACACATGGTGAACTAATGGACACAGAGCTTAAATGATATGTTATACAGGGAGAATGTGGTAGAGATGGGAATTCAAGCTAGTTTCTGAATCCCAGGTCAGTATCTTAACTTCAAGGCCACCTTTCCCCACTCTACCTGCTCTATGCAACAGAAAGCTGAGGAGCTTCTGAGAGCTGATTCTCCTGTCTGTAGATGGCACTCTGTGCATAGGATACACCACAGCTCTGCAAGAAAGATGCTAGGGAAGAGTTTATCTGTTACTTACAGTGCACAAGGAGCCACACAGACCAGGGAGGGACCCACAGTTTTGGAGCTCAGTGCAGAAGCAGGGAATTACAGGTATTATTTAAAAACCATCATCCTTATACTTTGTGTATTTTAAGTGCCTTTTCCCCCTCATTCTCTATAATGCAGCATGATCTGGTTGTCAAAGCAGGAGACTGGGACTCTGGTCCCCTGGATACCAGTCGCTGCTCTGGTTGTGTCACCTTGGAGGGTCATTTCCTTTCCCTATGCCACAGCTTTCCTACCTGTAGTGCTGAACTCATGATACTGACCCAGCTTGACCCCAAGGCTCAATAAAGTGTCTGCTGTTCCTGAACAGAAATATGATGCATTGATTTTTTCCTTGCTACGCTCTGAAGAACCAAGTGCAACTGCAAAGGACAGGTCTACAGGGCAGGTATCTCCTTAAGGTCCAGGGCATGGAGTTGCATTTTTATCTCAGTATGGGCAATGCCCATTGCCAGGCAGTACAAGGGTTGTTGGTGTGAGGGCTCAGCTGTGAGACTTGAGTGTTTTTTCCTCAGTAAAGAGCTGTCATATACTATCTCTACTGTAAACTAAACTCTAGCTTGAATTCCCATCTCTACCACTGATTTTCTGAATCCAAGCCCCAAACCTTAGGGTTGTTAGGACTGAACCAGGCTTTCTGGCTGAAGCCCACCACTGCCTTTACAGTGAAACCCCACTCGTCTTCTTGGGTGGGGGGTGACTCACCAGTCCTTCTGTGACACATTCCTGTTGTAAATGTGCCCAATGATATTCCTGTAAGGGGGGCAGATGCATTTGCAGCGGATGTCCTCAGAGCTCTGCACAGGGAAGAGGAGACTGTATTAGTGAAGGTAACCAATGGCAGCTGGTAGCTAATCAAGAAGTTCTGACTCCACCACAGACCTGGTGCTTCTCCCTCTTCAGCCTGCTTCAGTCACTCACTGGTCAGACTCTCACCCTTGGCAATCATAGCATCTTTCCCTGAGACACCAGCAGGTCTCCAAACAGACTGCTACAGGGATTGAATCCTCCATTTTCAAAAGCACAGGCTTAGGGGTAATCTCCCTTAGGTCTCTGGTATACGGTGTAAGGCAGGGCTGTTCAACTGGTGGCCCATGGACCTCATGTGGTCCCGACGGGTTAACATGTGGCTCACGGGCTGGTGGTCTGGGCACTGCTCTCCACACCATGCCACCAGCTGCTGCCACTGGAGTCTCTGGGCTACCTCCATCCTTCTCAGGCTTCTGCTGCCTGACTGCGCCTCTGTGGCTCTCAGCCAGTCAAGTTGGATAGCCCTGGCATGCATCATGCAGGTTCACCAGTTCCCACTCCATCCAGCAGAAACCAGTGCTACCCTCCCCTCTGCCCCCTTCCCCATCTCCCCACCACACTACCCAGTCTGTACTCGTCACCTCTGCACCTTTCCACAATGGACCAGGCTTTTTTGTTCCCCTGTCTCAGTTGCACAAAGCACCGTGGCCACTCAGAATCTATCCCCTACCGTGCCCTAGCTCTCACCTTGCTGGCCCGTGCCAGAGGTGTTAGGACACACCACACTACAGCCATCAGAGACAAGAGTTGCATGCTTTTCCAAATGTGCTGGATGAAAATCATGGTGATCTGAAATGAGGAAATAAGAGTGTCAAAGGTAGCAGAGAGTCCAGTCTCAGCTGAGGTGCTGGTCTGTCCTCTTCCCCAAATTCCCCCACTCCACGCAGGCAGTATTTCCCTAGAGTAGCGGTGCTGAAACTTCCAGTCGCGTGAGTTGGATGGGGTTGCAGGGACCAGTTCCCATGGGGTGGGGGTAGTCTGTGGGTTGGATCCAGGATCAGTTTGGAAAGTGGGGTGTGTCTGTGGGTGCACTCTGGTGCATCAGGCCAGCATCATGCACTGGATCCTGCCATGGACTGGCTCTGGAAGCTGCAGCAAATGATGCTGCCACTCTCCCACTGCCAAATTTCTGGACTTGTGGGGAGCCCTGTGGGTGGGAGGACACAGATCCACAGGCTGTATTTGGTCAGCAGGCTGGAGGATGAGCACTGCTGACTTAGAAAATTAGTATTTAAATTGCAGTAAACTTTAGGGGCTCCACCCAAAAGCAGGGAATTGGGTACATGCACACATAGTAAAAGTCACTGTTCCAAAGAGCTTTTACATTTAAACAGGCAGGCTAGACTAAGGGTGGGAGGGGAGACAGAGGTCAAGAGGTGGGCAGTACAGTATCACCAGCCTGACAATGGCAGGGAAACTTTTGTTTCCAATCACTCATAGGAACTAGCACAGTACCACAAGCAATTTTCCAGTTTGCATTGGCTGTTTGGGTTTCTAGGGCAGAGAGAGTGAAAGATCTCTGGAGATTTATTTTATTACCTTTGGAGAACCATTCAACAGCTATTTTACCAAAGGGAACTGAACTGGAAAAATCAAGAAACCTGAACAGACTAAAGACTGTCTGCTAGAGTCCCATGATGAATAGCCCCTAGACATTACTGAAAGACTGATATTCAGTAATGAATCAAGAAAGGGCCAATTCTGTAATTAGGTCTGCACGGGCAAGCCCTTACTTCACGTTAACTGCAGGTCTAGTTACAGGGATGAAAACTAATATTATACACTGTTAACCCTAAAGCTACTAAGAGAGAACTGACTCTTCTGCTTAATTCAAGGTCTAGGGCTAGTTCATTTCTACGGCAGGTACTTATATTTGCATGGGTCTACATAACTCTGTTTTGCTCTTGTATTTTCCTGTGATCCTTCGGTCCAGTTACCCTCCTGGCACTGCATTTAATATAGGCCATGTGCATCATAAGCTTTTGTGTCTGGGCCAAAGATCAAGGCAATCACTGAGGGACCTCCAAGTGGAAGTCTGTCCACTGATTTTGAACACACTTTGGATCAAGAACTTAACATGGTATGAATGCTTTGGAAGCAAGGCCACAATGTAGTACAGCACAACCCAGAGAGATCACTCTTCAGCTTGCTTTTCCTTCTTCAGCTTCCAGATCTTTGCTTTAGGCACCGCTCCACACGGCCACCCTGTGTGTTTGCTTCTCCATGTAACTAACAGGAAAATACCAGGCAGGCCCCAGCCTTTTGTGGGTTGTTGCAGTGTGGATCTGAGGCAGGTATGAGCAGTGTTTGGCCCTTAAGTGCTAAAGGAAGTGAAATTATTAAAGCAGGGTGCTGCAGCATGCTAGGGTGCCAGGAGATCCTTCTTAGGCTGCTGACACCGACACAGGATAAACCCAGAGACTTCAAATACGAATCCACAAAGTTGAGAACATTTTGCCCTGTGAGCTTCTTGTGTCCTTTGCCACAAAAGAATTTATCTATTATTTTTTGTAGTCAAAAAATGAGTGCAAACAAAGAGCTGGTATTATCTGAGGGGTGCTTGAGTCTAAAAAAGGTTGAGAACCAGTGCCTTAAAACACCCACTTTGGAGCAGGATTATATATCTCTAGTCTACTAATCCTTCAGGCCTCTTTTTGTTTGAGTAACAGGAAATTGGGGCTGAATCGACAACTGACTTTGGGATCTAAGTAGGATCCAGCTGCCACAGTAGGGGCCTAAGTCCAAGATTTGGATCTTCAGAATCCCTCTTCGCTATTGAGCAAAGACTGCAGGCCCCTAAGTTTCCAATAGCCAATTTTCTCAAGAAGGGGATGCAGGTTAAAATACCCTGAAGCACATGAAAGAACTGAACCCAAATCTCCCATATGATAGATATCTCAACAGAGCAAATTAGTATGGACACATTTGCGCAGTGCTGTGACTAGGGGAGTGGAGCAGGGCAGGCTGGTCTGTTGAAAGCTAGGGTCGCAAAAGCAGTCTGCAATGACCTGCAGCTCTGCTACCTCCAGCGTGGTGGAGAGGAGAGCGGGGAGTGGACTGCTCTCCCGTTTGCTCCACCTCCCCTCTCCCAGAGGGCCCGCTCTCCCAGAACCAGGAGGCCCTACGCCCGTCTGCCAGACCTGGGAGACCAGCTGCTTCTGGTTGGAGAGGTGGGAGACATCAATTCTGGCAGTCGGGCATGGGGCTTCGGTTTCCCAGTTCCAAGGTCTCCTGGTTCTGGTGTTGTGGGGCAGAGACAATCTCCCTGTTGGGGAGGGAGAGAGTACAGCACTGTGGGATGCTGGAGCATCCAGGGCTCCCCTATCATGCTCAGGAAATTGTTGACCCCACCCTGAAAATCATTAATCTGTTTTGAGTAACCTCCAGCGGTGGCGTCATTGCATCTCTGATGACCTGACAGTCTTACGCTGTCCAGACTCGCAAGTCCTGAAAATCCAGTGCACGTGACAACTAAAATACAAATCGTTTTAAGAAAGCACCACAGCTTTCCCACAGCACATAACTGCCCCCAGAAACTGATTGCAGAAGCTACTCTAGAGTCTCAGCTGTGCGCAAAACCAGGATCTGTCAGTTCTTGGGCCCAGGATGTACAATACCTTAGCTAAGGAGCAGCTGAACCTGCATGGCTGCCAGGAACTACAATTAGACAGCAATTCAAGCTAATTAGTTTGCATTTGGAAATACTTCTTGCAAATTTAGATTGTATTTGACGCCATTTCTGTTTCTGTACAATCCCAACCGCAGCATGCAGAGAGGCTCACTGCAACACTGGCTGCAGGAGCAGTTATTCTAAGCATCCCCCCCACCCTCTCCCCAGTCAGCATTAAAGGCTGTAAATCAAAGTGCCCTACAAAGGTCTCCCAGTTTGCAACAAAAATTAAAATCATCATATTCACCTTAGAAGAGAACTGACACCCACCCGGCAATCTCCCCGCAGCTCCTAAAAGGATGGAAGCCGCACCTCCTTGGCAGCGATTGGCTCTTGGAAAAGATCCTCTTTGGTCCAGACCATAACAGACAGCCCTTACTCCCAGCCAGCAGTTCGTGCCCAGGGTTTCACTAAGGGACTAGAAATCATTTCTCAACCCCACTGTGGCAAGAAAAGGAAAGCTAGAGTTGCAAAATGAGATGCTCTTGTGAAGCATCGCTGCCAAAGTACAGTGCCAAAAATGTAATGTGAAAATGCCACATAGGAGGGGACTATGGGTTATTGAATCCTTAATTATTATTTTATGTTAAATGTACAAAGCTGGTCATGTTAAAGTACCTTATGATCAAAACCTTGGGGTCCTATTCCTGTGTGACTGAGTTAGCCACTGCTTGTCACCCTCCTTTTTTACCCCACTGGCAGGGAGGTGATAATGATGCAAACCTGCCCAGACTAGGGACAGTATGAGTGGTTGGGAAAGACCTAGTTGATATTCAGGGAGACTGCTGGTTCCCCTCTCCTCAGAGTGAATGGTAGCAATATTTGGCTTTCTTCTCCGTGAATGCACCTCCAATCTTTACTTGGAGGGACACTTCCCTGGGGTGGGAGGCAGTTAGAGCTGGATCCTGAAAAGAGATTAAAAGGAATTAGGCATCCAAGTCTTCTTGAAGTTTGCATGGGGTGAGAACATGTCTTCATAGCCATTTGGCCCTGGTCCTCTGGACTGAACTGGATTGACTCATGTCAGATGGCAACAGATTTTAGTCACTATGCACCAAGTCAAAACCTGAATGTGTATTTCAAGGGTTCCCAAACTGGTACAGGTCCCCCTGGGGATACATGTCTGGGGAGTATGCGGGCGAAATTTGTGTAATAGCAGATGCTGGTAGGGCTACGCAGGCAGCTGGTATATCTGGAAAGGGGTATGCAATAAGATAAAGTTTGGGAAACTCTGGCCTACCTAGAGGGAAAATTCTTTCCCACTGTCCTCTATTGATACAAAACCCGACGCCTTTATGTCCTCTATTTTTCTCTTGAAGAGAGAAATAGAGGACATAAAGGCATCCAGTTTCGTATCAATAGAGGACAGAGTAGAAGAAAACCGGAATGTCCTCTATGATGGCCATCCTATTACCCACCCGTGGTACATAAATCACTCTACAACAGGTCAAACTTGACTATCTAGGTCCTTTGTGAAAGCATAGGGCTTCTGGAGGACAAGCTGTTTTGACTTTCTCTGAGATGTTTGAACATTGGCCACAGCTGAGTGGGGTTTGACCAGTGTGCACTGATGTTCCTGCCAGTACTTTTAAAACCCAGGGGTTCCTGACTTGAGCGTCTTCTAGTCAGTAAATTTCACAGCAGAAAGGATTTTCCCTTCCCTTGGCACGCACTGTTGGTGGTTTTGCCTTCCTCTGTGGCATCCTCTCCCTAAGATTTTCTAAGCATGCATTAACCAACTACTTCCTTTGCACACCACACCACCCTTTTTTTCCCCTTGTGTCATGTTATAGGATGTTCTTAGTGTTTCAGGTCCAGCGCCTTGTTAACTGTGGGTCTGAAAGGCTGATTCTGAAGATATGGCAGCAAGTGATGGCAGACTGCCTGCTGAAGCTGGTAGGCAGCGCGCTGATGCAGAAGGGGCTGTGGCAGCCAAGGACTGCCTCTGAATGCAGGGGGTTTGATGGCTCAGAAATCGTCTTCCAGTTCTGTTTTCCTCTTTTTCTAGTCTGACCATGACCGTGACCAGTCCTACCAGCACACCAAATCTTGCTTCTAACAGCAACACTTTCAGATCAGGTAAAAACACCAGCCATAAAGGGAGGAACTGTAGGACACTGGACATCCGGGTCAGAGTCCATGCTCACGCCTGCAGCATATGCCCTGCCCCAGGGAACAGCACTTCCTCCACGTTAGCTCAGTTTCGGAGCTCGCACAAGGAGCCTGTCAGACGTATTTTGAGAACAGCAATTCCGCGTGTTCAGGGAATGGCAAAACCCACTCGATGTTTGGTGAAAATAAGATGTCCAGAACAGGGAGATGCACCTGGTTTGCAAAGCATCATCTTGGATCAGGTCTGGGACTGCTCCTAGATCAAGGACCCTGTGGCAGCAGCCATGAACCCCCTCCAGACTAGTATGGCACTGCTGGACACAGTCACGGCTGAACCGGGCGGCAGGCACACGCAGCACGTGCCAGTGCCTCCCCCGGCGCAGCGCCCTGCACGTGGCTCGTGGCTCAGGCTCGCCGGAAGTAGCCACACGGGAAGGGGC